CCGGCGACGGCTGCTCACCCGGGACGGCAGCTGTGCTGGGACTGCGGGCAAGCAGCGGGGCTCGCGAGGAGCGGCGCGCGACCCTCCGTGCGGTCGCCCGAGGTTTCACAGAGGCCGCCAGGCCCACGCCCCCTTTCTGGTCGGGAGGAGATGCTTCCGAGCCAGCTGTGTGACATCCGTTTGCACAGCCGCGTTGACGTCTGTAGGTGTAAGTTCAAGAACCGCCATTGGCCATTGGCCGGTAGCCGCTGGGCTCTTCCCTTCTCACCAACCCTCAACTCGGAGACCGAGGCCGCTGAGAATCTGTAAACCCGGTTCCGCCGGAAGCCCCGACCTGGGCTCCTGGCTGCTCCTTCTATGGTGAGGCAGATGCAGGACCATAGGTGCTGCAAGCCTGGGTTTTCACGTGAAGGGCCTGAGTAAAGGTTGTGCAGAACCGCCGGATTTCACTTGTTTTCCTACTTGTTGCTTGTAGCAGACGACCGACTTTCCGTAACTTTATTTCAAAAGGAAGGCATGTTGTAAATCACCTATACACATCAAAATGGTAAACATTTACTCAGTTCAGTGAGCCATCCAGCATCTCAGGCTGTTGAAGACTTGATCCTCTGCACCTTTGGACTCCGTCTATCCATCTGTTATAAACTCAGTTTTTTGTGTGCAGTACCTAGTTTAATGGCAAACGGTTCCACTGTGCCTTGGTAACCCAGATGAGCAAGAGGAAATAGACTTTGCAGACAACCCTTTAAGAGTTTGGTTTCAATGAGACCAGAGAGATAAGGCAACGACTGAAGTGATTCCTGGTGCTGAGAGATTAGCGTGGTGAGGGGAAATGGCAAAAAAAAAAAAAAAAAAAATCAAAGCAGGTTTAGGTAATGAGAATGAACAAGTGTAATGCAGGGGATGAGTGAGAATACAACCAAAAGGGTTAGTGGAGAAACCTTAAGAGCAAGAAATAAAGCATTCATGGTGAGGATAAGGACTTGGGAGGACTGAGAAACATTTAAGTGCAATTTCCAGTATTTGGCAGTGTATGAGTTAGAAAAGGGGAAATAGATAAGAAGGAAATAAAGAATCCCAGTATAGTGACTTTTATATTCATAATGCTTATTTCCATATATAACTTATTATGGTGAAATAATGGATTCTATAATATGAAGTATTTACATACCTGAATAAAATTCAATCTTGTGTTTTGATATAACAAGTCGGAAATACTGGAAATCAGTATGTAGATTTAAAGCTATTAAAAAACAGTTTAAAAGAATTCTTTATCTCCTCTGCTGACATGGAATATACTCACTGAAATAACTAAATTATCCTACAGCACAAAAAAATATAGTTATGTGCTACTGACCCCACCAATAGTGGTAGATGTAATAAACGACCCAGAAGGATACTCTGAGGGCAGAAGACACTGTTATGTGCATCCAGAAGTCATGCAACACACAAGGTGTTCAGTACAGTTGTGAAGAGGGGAAGGATGTCCTGAGTAATCTCTACAGACATTATGGACTCCATCCCCACTCCAGACCAAAGAGTAATTAAGACATCAGGAACTACAAATCCCATCAGCACCAAAGGGATAATTGCTGGGACCTGAGGGTGAAGTTAAGCAGCCAGGTTTGGTATAAAACCGGACATGTGGGCCTTAGGGGTCTCTTGGCCTCTGGTTTTTGGCTTGACTCTTGGTTAAGGGCTTTCAGCATGCAATTGGGATTTTCCTTATTGAATTGTGTTTCTGCTGATTTTCTCAAAGCCAAATGGAGAAAATGAGCTTCAAGAATTCCCTTTAAGAGGAGATCTGTACAATTAAGTAATTTGTTTCAGAAAAATTTAATGTTGAAATCAATATGTAAGTTCAGCTGCTGCCTGGATCATTCTTTGCTCAGCTCTTCCCCCCATTTAATTCATGCTCATCTTCCAGGTCTCAACCCAGATAATGCCTGTCAAGAGAACACTTCCTTACTTATTCTTTGTCACACCACCTTGTTCATTTCCTTCACAGCAGTTACCACAGTTTGCAGTTGTGTTTCATTATTATTTGACTATAATAGCTTCCATGGGAATTAAGCCCCTCTTTGTTTACTTCTGAATCACCAGCATCTTAAATTGAATTATTTACATTTTAAAGGTGGATTATCCTGGATGGGTCTGATGTAATTAAGTGAACTTTTTAAAGAACATCTAGTAATCAAGGAAAAGCCTGGGTGATTCAAATTAGCAACAGATGCTTTTTTGTAGACCCTGAAGAAAATTCCCATGTTGTTGAAAGGACTACAAAAGGGACCAAAGTCCCCCAACACCTTGATTTCAACCTGAACAGAGAATCCAAGCTATCCTATGAAAATCAAAACTTGCAAAATTACTTTAAGATCATGAAAGTAAGCAACCAGAAATTAGTACAGAGAATTCATTTTCTCTCATTTTTGTTTAAATTAGATAATTAAGACAGGTAGGGGATTAATATGATACAAAGTGTTACACAATTTATCTTCTCCCAAGTCGATGCCCACCTATATCCTATGTTATAGTTGATATTTCCTCCTTTTCACCTAACCAGACAGGGCCTATAGAAAAAAATGAACATCTCCTCAACAAATTTAGTGTTTCTCCCTAAATGCAATAATGTTTAGAATTTTTATGGTATTATTTTTAAATGGTTACATATATGCTCACACTAACAACAGCCAGACTGTTAAAATAGAAATAGCAAGCCACTCTTACAACTCCTACATGTTGTCAATTTCCATTTTCACTAGAATAATCAGCCTGATAACTATGGAGCAAATTTGTCTATTCCACTCCCAAATCTAATTATTAGTAGCAGGTTGCCCCTACTTAACACAATTGTCTTAAGTTTTAGAGTTAAGTTTTATTTTGTCTCCTTGTTCTGAAAACAAAGTAATCATAACTAGGATCTATATGTTGTGGGGTTAAGAGTCATTTAGGGGCCCTCTGCTCTGGTGCAGTCGGTTAGTTAGGGTGCAACACTGCAAGCTGGCTGCAGCAGCCTCAGTGCAACTTAGATCCCCCACCCAGGAGGTGATCCACAAGGCGCAGCAGACCTCTCCTGACCAGCCACTGCTCCGCTCAGCAGTGTACTTTGTCGATCTGCCTGTTCTCTCCACTCTGTCTGGTGAAGCCTCTCACCACCCCTGCACCTCTGGCTTGTACCCCAGTTCTGTATGAATAAATAAATCTTTTTTAAAATGTTATTAAAAAAGTCATTTAGGTTACCTGTGTGGTTCCTTACGGCAGGAAGGAGACAGGAGGGTGATTCTTATCAGAGCTACTGCCCATGGCTCTCTTCTCTCACTTCTCTGATACTGCTTGGAGTTACTAATCCCCGGATTACCAAAATTCTTGCCCATTAGTCCCTTTTTTAACCAAGTGATGTGATAAATTCTTCGTGGGATTGGATAATCCTTAAGTGTAAAAAAAGATGATAAAGTACCATTATAAAGTTACTTTCCTCCCAAAAAAATTAAAGTCATACCTACAAGTGAAAACAATGGAAGATATGACTTGAGAATCTATTCATTGTTACCTTATTTATTTTGGCTCCATTATTTCCGAATTAACACGTTAAAACAAGTGTACAGGGACTCAAAATGATAGTGTTTATAACCCAATGTTAAATCATATGTAAACATACTCTAAATTTATTTAATTAGCAACACTTGTCTCTAAGATCTCACGCGCAAATGAAAATTAAAAATGTCCCCTCCAGGGATTTTGATCCCTAAACTCTTATACAGGCCTTGCTGTCTTTTGTGATTTCCTTTCACTGCTGCTTTGTGTATTCATTTCAGTCTTATTTTGGAAGTGGGTGTGCAGGCATGTGGGTGCACGGACCCATGTATGCATGTTTTAGGAATGTGAGGGCTATTTTTAATAAACCCCAAATAGTTCTCTCCCAAAAAGTGTCAGCTTGTTAACTAATTCTGGTAGCCCCTGGAAGTAAATTACTATTATTTAAAGAATGCAGGTTACTTTAAATTTAGAACAGAGAAGGCCCTAGAGTTTCTGTCCTTTGCCCTTTGACCTAATCAAAGGAGCAATCATGTAAAAGAATGTAATGTCAGCCAAGAGTGGGTTTATCTCTATCTAAGGAGTTCTTTATTCTCAGTAAAGATAATCTCATTGTCTGCCATGTGACATTTCCCCCACTCTATCCTTGATGCCCCAGGTCTCTGAACAATAAATATTCCTCGTCTGCTCCTTTATTCTTCAGAATTGTTCATGTAATTTCTCCATGTTAGTAAATTTTGACTTTTTCTCTTACTAATCTTCCTGATTTAATTTGTTCATCCTTCCAGCCTTAGAGAATTTGGATGGAATGGGGAAATTTTCACTGTGCCTCCATGGGGAAGAATATGGGAATTGGGGCTTCTCCCCAATTCCCATTATAACAAGAATAAAATGGGAGGTTCCATGTTCTCTGCCCTACCTAATGAGGG